TGTGGGCGCTGCCCCATCACACTGATCCCAGTGCCGGGAGGCTTCTCAGCTCCGCTGATCCCGGTGCTGGAAGGCATATTAATTACCCTTTTACTATATAGGATAGAGGGTGGGGGTTCCCACTGGGTGCCCTGCCAGTCTGGATGAGGGGATGATGGCTGTTTGCAGCTGGTCACACACCCTTCAGGGTGGGGGTCCCTACTGGGGTGGCTGGCCAGCCTGGATGAGGGGCTGAGGGCTGTTTTCAGGCAGGCCAAGCCTGCAACTGAAGCTCCCAGTCTCTCCTTTTTTCCTTTTTTTATTCTGGGATTTATTTACCTTCTGTAATTGCAACTTTGTTGTGGCTCCAGCTCCAAGGCCGGCTGGCTGAAAGCAGGTTTCTGGGTTTGTTTAGCTTCTATAATTGCAACATTGTTACTTAGACGAGCTCAGAGCCCGGCTGTGGCAGGCGGGGAACCTTGGCTTCCTCCATCGCCGGGGCAACCAACCCTCCTGTTCGCTTCAGCTGCATGGCTGCCGGCCGCCATCTTTGTTGGCAGTTAATTTGCATATTGCCCTGATTAGCCAATGGGAAGTGTAGCGGAGGTATGGTTAATTACCATGTCTGTCTATTATTAGATAGGATATATTATATTGCATCGTCCAACTGCTCTACTTTCTTTTTAAGGTGCTTGAGTGTTCTCCCCTCCTTTGTTTTCCTCCTATGTTTTTGTCTATCTCCTTTGTGGACACATCATTTTCTTCTTAGCTATTGAATATTGGGATTTTTGAAGAGTTCTGAGCCCTTTCTTCTCACTCTTCTCTTTCTTACTAAGTCACTTCCTTTAAATGCATGGCTTCACTTTTCTTCTTTACATAGATGATGCACAGGTTTTTTATCTCTAAGCCTGACCTCTGGAGCATCAATTTCTCCACTGATTGATTATTTGACATCTGTTCTTAGATGTCTGAGGCATCTCAGACTCAACCTGTCTGAAATTAGACTCATGATCTTCCCCCTCACACACCTACCCTTCCAGTGTTTATATGTGGAAACCATTACTTGATCAGTTACAAAGGTCAGAAACTTAGGAGTCAATCATTATACTACAACAGATTCTTTACTTGTATTCGAACCTTTTCTGTTTGTATACCTCCTAAAAGAGTATTTAAAAAATATTGTACTCTCTCACTGAAGTAAATTTTTTAGTGGACCCTTTTTTCCTTGTTGGGGGAAGGGGAACCTTTTATTACATTCCAGAGTAATGCATCATAATAAGATTGGGAGTGGTATGGGAACCTGCCTTTCTTCTGAAATATTGCAGAATTATTATTGTCAGGGGGGAGGGAGGAGGGGTGGTAGAAAAAACTAGATAAGCCGTCTCCTGAAATCATCTTCTAACAGAATGTTATCTGGTCGTCCTCCTACCCCTTCAACTGTCCAATGCCCTGCTCAACTTGGTACTTTTGATGAAGGTATCTGTTTGATACCACCCAGATGGTATCACTTAGGACCCCCTTTCTCTCCATCTTTTATTTCTGGATTGCTCTGCATTGTCTTCCCTTATGGCCAGCAACATGGCTGCAACTCTTTGAGCCTCAGACCTTCATTACCCTCTGTCTCTTGTTTGTTTAATCCTGTAAAATTTGTGAGATTCACTCTGATTTAGGTCACATGCCCACCTCTGAATCTTGATTGTTATGTAGAGAGATACTGGGTATTGATTTATGTAAGCCTGGGCCTTGACTCTGTGACCTCCTGGTTCATAGGTCGAAGCTCAACCACTGAGCCATGCTGACCGGGATCCTTGGCACTCTTTACTCCTATACTCTGGCCTTCTTTCGGTTTCTTTCTGTCACAGAGCTTTTGCACATACTATTTACTCCAGGGAAGGCTTATCTCTCTCCACTTTGCCTAATGATGTTTAACTCATCCTTTAGCTCTCAGTTCAAGCTTGACTTTTCTAACACTAGTTCAAACCCCTATATTAACTATAGACTTTCATAGTAATGTATAATTCTCTTTGGTGATACTTTATTTGCAATTTCATATTTTATATCATTTATTTCTTTCTCTCTCCCTGGCCAGACTATAAACTTTATAATACAAGAAACACATCTGTTTTTGCTCACCACAGTATTCTTAGTGCCAAACATAGTACATTTCTGTTATGTGAATATTTTTTAAGTGAATGAAAGGATAATGGTGTTTGGCAAATGATAGGCTCCAGAGGAAACAAAACATGTAGTTATCCTGGTTACTGTCTAGCATGGGGCAGTGAGGAGACTAACTTAAAACCTGTCCTTTTGCAGTCCTATCTAATAAAAGGGTAATATGCAAATTAACCATCACTCCATCACAAAAATGGCGGTGCCCATAGCCACATGATGGCAGCGCCCAGTCCTCTCAGTCCTGCCGGAGTGCCCCAGTCCCGGGCCACTGCGATGAGGCAAGCATCCTGTGCCCAGCCACAAATGGGCCTCTGGGCCGTGGAAAACCTCTGGGCAGTGGGCGCGGAGCAGCCAGGCCCCACAGAGAGCTACTGGCGCACGGATTCGTGTGCAGGGCTACTAGTATAGTATAATAGTGTATGAATGCATAGATACATACCTGAAGTCGTTTTGAGAAATTAGGCCTATTTTTATTAATTGGACTATTTGCATCTTGTTTTTAAATGATAAAGCATTTTAAATGTATATTTGAAATTACTCATGAGTGAAGAAGTAGCATAAGGGTAACAGGGAAGGAAGACAAATTAAAGCACTTTATTATTGTCCATAATATATTTCCATCCTTCGTATAAATGGTGCTAGAATGGTAAATAAATAACCTTATTACTTGAAAGATTATTTTAAACATCAGGGAATAATTTTAACATTGCTTATGGTAAGAAATGTTAACCTTACAATTTTGCATTTTTAAGATCTATTCTGGTCGAGAACTTGAAGAAACATTAAATAAAATCAGGGAAATTTTGTCAGATGACAAACATGACTGGGATCAGCGTGCCAATGCAGTAAGTTTTTTATTTTCTTATCCCTCTCCTCTTTTTTTCAATCTTCCTTTTCAAAAACATGGAAATTCCGTAGTACTACTCTCTGGTATTTCAGATACTTATGAAATAGAATGTCTGATAAGTTATATTTTTGGAAAGTACATCGAGATAGTTGGCATTTCTGACTTAGGCTAATTTTTGTTGTTTTTGCTGGTCAGGTGGAACCTGTCTCACCTGTTTGTTAGTCTCTCTTCCTGTGCTACTTGTTGAGTGACCAGGAAAGTGCTAGCTTCCCTGATGCCACAGGGCCGTGGCCTGTTTGTGGGACTACATAGTTAGTACTGTCCTCCATTCTTACAGGGTTTACCAAAAGAGCAGTTCGCTTTTCCTGCATGCTCAGTATTTTCATAATGTCAATATAAATTCACGACAATATGGCCATTTGTCTGGCTTTTTCTTTTTCTCTCTCACATCTCTCTCTCTGAATGTGATAAATATTTTCACAACCATGATTTTAAAAAAAGGCCTGATATTTTTTCATTTAGAATATTTTATTTCGCTTAAATCCTTGAGATACTATTTGGTAAATTTTAAAATGATATTTGCAATGTCAAAAGACTATAATTCAAAGTTTGTGACTTGGACAAATTTACTTCTGACTTACCACATGAGTGCCTCATTGTCCTCAAGAAGCCAGAGGAGGGGTTCCAATTGAAGACTCCTCCGCTCTGAGAGCCTGAGTCTCTATTTTGATGGCTTAATGGTTGGTCCCTCTGCCTCTGTTCTTTTGCTTATGTGTGAATACAGTTTCCAGAATTGGGCCCTTTTAAAAATAGCCTCCTTAGTATATAGTGGTAATAGTTGCACAACATTTTGATTGTACTCAATGCCATTGAATTGTATACTTTAAAATGGTAAATTTTATGTAAATGTGAATTTTACCATAGTTTATTAAAAAAAATACTTCCTTAAAACTTCAAAATTTAGTAATGTATTCATACATTACATATGTCTATTATGCATATAACCAAATCTATAATATTCTTTCCCAGAAGGCTTTGTGTTTTGGTTTG